AATTTATGTATTTCACCAAACTTAGGACATTTTGAGACATTATTTTATTAAGTATTTTTTACATTGTTGGCTCATTGCCTCCCTATTCTCCTTTTGGAATGAAAACTATACATACAGTTGTCTAGTATGTCCCAGACCTGGTATTCACTTCTGTTTCCAGTCTGTTTTTTCTTTGTGTTCCTGAGATTGCATAATTTCTACTGATCTACTTCCATGTTCACTGACTTTTCCTGTTTATGTATACATATTCTGCTATTAATCCCATCAAGTAAGTATTTTACATGAGATAATGTATTTTCACAACTCTAAAACTTTCTTTTCTTTTTCATGATTTCTATTTTGTGGCCTTTCATTCATTACAAACTTATTTTTCTTTACTTCATTGAAAAAAATTTTAATAGTTACTTTCCAATCTTTCTTTCATTTCCAACATCTTGGGTCATCTCAGGTTGTTCTCTGCTGATCTCTCTTGATAATGGGTCATATTTTTCCTGGTTCTTTATGTGTTCTGTAATTTTGGGTTGGTTGTATTCTGAACATTATGAAAATTAAACTGTGTAGAGTGGGTTTTTATATCCTTCTAACTCTTATATTTTTGCTTTAGCAAGTAATTAATTTTGTTGGGAGTCAAACTGCAGACTCTGTCTCTTGAGTGGCAGCTCAAATCACACTCTTCTTCTGTCATATGCAGCTAGGGCCTGTGGTTCAGATATCTAATATTGATGGTTTCTGGAGTGCAGGCAGCTCCCACAGAAAAATGGACTATGATCTAAAAGGCATTATTTTGTTGTTATTGTTGTTGTCGTCCTGGGGAATGAGCCTCAGGGTGATTTACCACTGGGTTACATCCCCAGCCCTTTTTATTTTGAGACAGGATATGCTAAGTTACCAAAATTGGCCTTGAACTTGTGATCCTCCTGCCTCAGCCTCTCAGGTTGCTGGGATTACAAGTGTGCGCCACTGTCCTCAGCTCTAACAGACATTTTAAATCTATTGGTTTAGCTCAGAGTACATAATTCATATTCAAATAATTCTATTACCTTGAGTGGTTATATTAACAAGTCTTTAGAAGGTCAAATTGCTCCCAACCATTATAATTGATCATTTACACAAGGAAAGGCAAAGTAGGAGCTTAATTTTTCTTTTTCTCATACAAAGAGATAACTGGCAAAATAGGATCATTGTATAGGATCACTTTAAGTTCCCCTGAGTACACAAATGTGCCAATTACCACTCTCTAAAATTCTAACAAGGGATGGATTTCTCTTTCTGGGTACAAAGTAGAAGACCTGAAGACATTTACTCCTATAGTAATCCCAGAGAAAATAAAAATCATAAAGCACAGATGCAATGAAGCTGTGAAAACCACTCTCTATATGGGCTCCTGATGGTGCTCCCTGCCTCCCCTCCCACCATGAAGACAGTGGACCTGTGTAATCACAGGATGTGATACAATTGATGATGGATGGTTTTGAGGCTAAGTCACAAATACCAGTTCCATGCTCAAAACTTCTATTGCTCTACCTCTCTCAAGATATTTATTATTTGTATTATAATTATTTTTGTCAGGGTAAACATCTAAATTATCTTTGCCTTTCCTATAACTCCTAGTGTGGTGTTGATTTGCTAGTTAGGGCTCAATAATAATCTAGCAAATAGACATAAGGAGGAGCTAACTTTGTTCATAATTCCATAATACCAAATATAGTTTTATGAGACTTCTTGAAACTGCATCATTGGTTAGTTGCTATTTTTATGACCACTAAAACATTTTAAACGCCATTCTCTCTCTATTCTCTGAGATATGATTTAATATATAATGCACATACATAAATAATCATAAAAATCTTTATGTATACTTTGTTAATAGAATATGCATATTTGTGAGCGTGTATTCATTCACATATCAGGCTTTCTTTTCCCACAGACTCAAAGCTGTGTTCATCTAGCACTGTTGTCCCAATTTTCTTACACTCAAGCTGTCCCTTTAGGTCTCAGCTTAAATATCATCTAGTACCAAGTTTCTTTAATTATTTATTATTCATTTGGCTCTGTAGCTAGATGGTAATGTCCAGGAGGGCAGGTAATACACTATTTTGCTCACTACTGCATGGCCATTATCTACCACAATGACCAATAGAGAAACTGCTCTACAAATGCTCACTGAATGAACAAATGAACTTTCTTCGGACTTCAAGAAGTGCATTTTGTAGGCCTCAAATATTTGTGCCCTTTATAGTATGCTTCCCTCACAGTCTTGCTCTATTGTTTCCCAAAGCTTATTAAGCACTACCACTTCGACTTGGAATGTGGGAGTCTCTTTTCATATATACAACAGATAGAAAAGAGAAAAAAAGGGGACCCTTACTTTGGTTGTTAAGATATAACAGAAAAGACAGAAAAAAAGGGGATCCTTAATTCTGTTGTTAAGACTTCAGTGTTCCCACTAAAATTCTGAATACATTTGGTCATAAAAATATTGTATCATAGACCTAATAAGAGCATGCTACAGGGACACTGCTACATTGATGTTCATAGCAGCACAATTCACGATAGCAAGATTGTGGAACCAACCTAGATGCCCTTCAATAGATGAATGGATAAAAAAAATGTGGCATTTATACACAATGGAGTATTACTCTGCATTAAGAAACGACAAAATCATAGAATTTGGAGGGAAATGGATGGCATTAGATCAGATTATGCTAAGTGAAGCTAGCCAATCCTTAAAAAACAAATGCCAAATGACTTCTTTGATATAAGGGGAGTAACTAAGGACAGAGTAGGGACGAAGAGCAGGAGAAGAAGATTAACATTAAATAGGGATGAGAGGTGGGAGGGAAAGGGAGAGGGAAGGGAAATTGCAGGGAAAGGGAAGGTGATCCTCAGGGTTATACAAAATTACATACAAGAGGAAGTGAGGGGTAAGGGAAGAATAATACAAGTGGAATAAATGTTTTACAGTAGAGGTGGTCGAGAGAGAAGAGGGGAGGGGAGGGGGGACAGCAGAGGATAGGATAGACAGCAGAATTCATCAGACACTAGAATGGCAATGTGTAAATCAATGGAAATGTAACTGATGTAACTGATGTGATTCAGCAATCTGTATATGGGGTAAAAATGGAAGTTCATAACCCTTTTGAATTAAATTGTGAAATATGATATATCAAGAAAGATGTAATGTTTTGAACGACCAACAATAATAAAAAAAAATATTGTATCATTATTTCATTGCAAAATAGGTTAAATGAACTTTTAGTGAACCTGCTTAAGAATGTAACAACCAAAACTGAAAAATGCATTCTGCGTACTGCATTAAGCTAACAGACTACAAATATCTTTTGAATAACAATCCATTTGGAAGTGAGTCTGTATATATCCTAATACTACTAATATTAGAAATTTGGTTGTTTCACACTATCCTATTCATAATTTTATTTTTATTACTGTTAACAAGATAAGCTCTTAATAAAAATTAATTAATACTTGATTTTCCCCTACTATTTGTCTCCTTAAAGATTTGGAACTCTCCTAAAATTCACTACCAGTGCTACCATATACCAAATCAAAGATGAGAAACTCAGTCTTTTCAGCACAAACATAATTTTCTGGTAGTCAGTGATATCTATTAGTAAACATCAAAGTAGAAGGCAATCTTCACCTTAAACAAAAGCTATTCCTTAATTACGGTAGAGACTTAAATCACATTTCGGCTCAGTCTCTAAAGATTTCGGTATGGGAAAAAGGGCCATGAGCTTTGGTGTGTGCTTGCATCATTCTATGCACCATGATGATGGAGGACACTTTGCTCACCACCTGGAAGAATTATAGTAAAAATCTTTAAAAACTCACTGGGTTTAATGACTGTGTAGTATCGTAACTATGACAAAATCAGATGTAGAAAAAACACTGACCCAAAACTACACCAGTTTTGCCTCGCAGAAGGTTCTAGAATAAATCTCTCAGCTTGGATTTCATCAGCCTATATAGGCACTGAACTCATCTAGAGCTTTCCCAAGATAAAAAATATATAACTTTTCCTATGGGAAGAGCACTTCTCCTGACATTGCTTTCTCTGGAGCAATCCTGGTTCACTATTATTCCCTGGAGTCAGTTCAACAGGGAATGGCTGTCCCCTATGTATATGCTTATTGTCATCCCTTTCCTTGCCAGAACTACATGATGTATAAGCTAGGTTATGCTGAATGTTGGGGATTAAAAGGGAAGAGTCAAACATGCTGGTTAAGTTAAGTCAAGTCTCAGAGGTGTTCCTTTGCCACTGAGTGGGGAAAGTAAGACCAGCACTAAGTGGGTTCTGGCAGTGGAGTGGTTCTCTGGATCCTAGACCACCCTGGAAAGCACTTTAAGGTGGTTCTGTCCCACTGCTGCAGAAGGAGTAGCTGAAGCCCTCTTCAAATCCTTACAGAAACGAAAAGATTATTGCTGCCCTGAATATAAAAGACTATCATTTCCCAAGAAATTAAACACCTGTTCTGGTTTCTAGAATCATGCTTTGTATTGAAGGACTATTTCAAATATTGAATTCTAAATATTTCTAATTGGTAATACCCTAAATGCTAGGGTTGTCACTACAGTAAAATTGCCATTACAATGGAGTTCAGAGAGAAAAATTTTTAACTCAATGCTGATTCCTCCACTTGCTGGGTCTGAGTTTATAATGGCACATGTGGCAATGTATATGTGTATCAAATTATGTCACACACTTAAATATATGCAATTTCATTTGCCAACTGAATCTTAATGAAGGTAGAAAAAACAAAACTGCTTATTTTCATAGCAAAAAAAGCAAGTGTAGATTCATTTTTCACTTACTTATTGAACATAACAGCTTATTAATTGAATCCAACATATCATATTCTAAACTGCTTACCTAATATATAAGGATATTTGATTTAGTATATGAAGGATAAAGAAAACTAAACAGAATTAATAAAATTAATTCATCTCTTTTTAAGTCCAAAATGTGAAGTCAGCCTTACCCACTGCACCCGATGACTTTATTGTACAGGTAAGATGGCAAGCCCTTCAGGTGAATGTTGTTATCCACATATACGTATTGCAGTTCTCGAGATCGACCTAAATCTGAATTAAACAGGAAAGAATTATAATTCCTTTAAATATACATCATTATTATATGAAATATATAATTTAATATGTAATATTAGAAATATTCAACAATTTCTCTTCTGGAAGAAAAAAATGTAGATTTCAAGCTCATAGTGCCAAGTTATGCTATCTGTGATATTAGAGTACACATCAGAAAACATGGGTATAGAAAAATTACTTAACCAATTTAGCCTTTGATTTCTTAAACTGTGAATGAAATCACTAGGACTAGATTATAAGTAAATTCCTTTCCCATGTAAAACTTCAGTGACATTTTATAGACAATTTCAATTTAAAAATAAGTTTGTGGTGGGTCATTTATTTTCATTTTCTTCTGTAGAAAATGTTATAGAAGTAAGTTTATGGGTCAGCCTAAACAAATCTGCTTCTGCTCCTTGTCAAAAATTCTTTGCTTAGTCAGGCTTTAGTCAAGTCCTTGAACATTCTGGTAGGTCTATCTGTGCACTTCCTTATAAAATCCAATTTTAACAAAGAACTTTTCTTAGTCCATTTAGCAAGAACTACCCTAGACTGCACTATCCAATATCTGATCACCCTCAATATCTGATCCAATTCATCATTCTTCACTATTTTCCAGGTGATGTCTGATCACCCTGGTCTGCTTTTACCAAGCATCTTGTTAGGTGGGTTAAGCCAGAGACTTTTGACATTCTTATTAGTTTTCAATCCACTGACCCCCAACCTGATCTTTGGTTCTAAATTCCCACTTGCCTGTGCAATTCTGAGTTAGCTCCATCTTTCTCCCCTACTGCAAGACCCCATTGCAATGTCCCTGTACTCATTTTAATGGTCCTGCATGAAACCTACTTTATTGTGCTTTAACAGGGGTCACTGAATAATTATGGTAATGTACCTAGAATGAGAAGCCCCTAGATAGAAACAGATGTGCTTAGAAAGAGGCAGAACTCAAATTTCCCAAAGGTAGCAGGGCTGCTTGGGAAAACAGAAAATAGGCTGAAGGAGATCTCTTCCTCCTTGCTTTCCAAAGTTTAGGAAAGACAAAGGTCCCAAAATTAAATGAGGTTCTTAGATTTATTTATATTTCAAAAGATAATCCATTTACCATTAAGGATCCTTTAGTCACTATGGTTGGCCTTGGGAATATAGAACAAATGCCACATTAGTAAAAGAAAGAAAGACATTAAACATGATCACTAGGATACAATATGATCATTGCTATTAGAAAGGTTTGTCTAAAGTCTTGTGGCTCAGAAATGGTCCTGAACAATTTACTACACAGAGTGGGAGGAGGGTAATAAAAGGCTGAGTTAAGGAAGAGCTGAGGGTCGGGCTGGGAAAGATCAATCTCATCCCCTCCTTTCTATAGCCGATTCTATTACAATACGTCTGCCCAGGACGTGCACTGCATCCCTTACAAAAAGGAACCAAGACTGGAAACACCAGCAACAAGCAACAAAAGGAAAGTGGCAACTCTTTGGGAAAAGGAATTCCTAAGCAACAGGCTAGAGATGTCCTTTCCCAGTGTGTAGTATTACAAGATCTAACAGAATCAGGCAGAAATGATGGGTGTGATTTCAGAGCCTAATATTATCCTTTCTTTCCTTGCTCTGTTTTCCACTTATTCTGGAAAACAATTTCCATGTCATGAAGGCACTCCAGCAGCCTGAGAGGAAATGAAGCCTCCAACAACAGACATATGAGTGAGCATCTGGAAGCAGCTCCTACAAGCTCCAGGTCAAGTCTTTGCATGACTCCAGCCCTGACTGAATCCATGTAAATATTCCATTCTTTCTCAAAAACTTTCCCAATACTTTTGGCAACCATGGATCTTGTCAGCAATATTTTGTGGTATTTATTTAATGGTCATTTTCTATCACCCCTTTTCTGGCTACATGTATTAACTGGAATTCTTTTGTAAGTAGGAAGCATCCCTTCTTTCTCATTTGTTTATTTGACTTTTACATTAGTATGAATTCATGAATATTTATTTTATTGTAATGGGCAAAACCTCAATTCTATTATCATTTAACTTCTTGGTAAAAATGTTTCTGTTTTGGCAATTATGAGCAACTTCAGATTGGCTCTGAAGTTTTTTTCAACAATTTCTCATCCATTTTTGATCATACCCGGACTTTCTGGCTTGTTGTAGGCTTATATATTCTCTGCTAAATCCTTAAAATTAATCACTTCTTTAAGGACCCCTAATTCCTTTTGTAGGAAAATGGTGTTTAGAAAGTACAATCTGAGGGTGTACAATGTGTTCATTACTACTGTGGTGCTATCACTTCAAGGATCTCTTAAGATTTAGGAAATAAGAATGTTTCAAAATCCTTCCTTGAAAAGAAATATCCCAATTTGCATCCCTACCAGCAACATATGAGATATCTGCATCCCTATTTAGATAGATAAAAAAATAGACTCTCATCATTGTTTTAGTGTGCATTTTTCTAATTAAGAGCAAGTGAACATTAAAAAAAAAAACATACATCTGAAGGGCAATTTTTTTTTACCTTTGTTAATTGTTTTGTCAAGTCTTTTCCCAATCTTTCTATCAGGTTTTGGGTGTTTTTGTCTCTTATTTTTTGAGATAATAGTCCTATGTCTGTGGTATAAGTTACAAATATTTTCTCATGGTTTGTCAGTTGTCATTTGATTTTGTTGGTGACTTGTTTGTCATGCAAAAAGTTTTAAAACTCTTTATGCAGTGAAATTTACCAATCTTTTATCATTGCTTTTAGGTTTTGAGGCATGGTTAGAAAGTCTCTTCCTATAACAGCCAAGGTTAAAACAAAATTCACTCATGTTTTATTCTAGTGCTTGAGTAATTCTTAATTCTCTCTCTCTCTCTCTCTTTCTCTCTCTCTCTCTCTCTCTCTCTCTCTCTCCACTTAAATCCTAGTCCATTTGGAATCTTTTTTTTTTTGGGAATCTATTCTTATATATGATATGAAATGTATGGCTAATAATTTTCTTTTCCATTTGGCAATCCAGTTATCTGGGCATTATTTATGAACATTTTGGTCCACTTTTATCCCTATAACACCAAAAAGAAAGAAAGAAAATCTCTTAAGACTAGAAGAGAAAAATTCAAATACACAGAATCCAGAAAAAAGTAACTACGTTGTTAATCATGCTAGAGATACTAATCCAAAAAAGGTGTATCACTGGAAAATCAGCACACACGGGAAACAAGTGGGCCCATCTGTCTATGCTTTTACTTACTAGTCAAGAGAGCAGAGCCTCAGTTTGCACATATGTTAAATGACATAACAGAACTTCTTGGTCCCTCAACTTTACTAGGTTGTAAGAATCACTGAATATGAAAACAATTACTATATAGAATGTTTTTCAAGTATCAAAATATAGAATTACCAAAATATTGTACACTGCTACTTTAGTACTCTAAAAAGCTATACATTATAAAACATAGATGGGAAAAATATAAATACCTGAAGATAAAAAACATAAATACCTGAATCCATTTGTAATAGAAAAGGCTACACTAAATTATACAAAAATTCCTATTCTAAATTTCTTCACTACTTCTTTAATATACAGACAAATCCCTTAAGCACAAATAAAATTTTGCAGTCTTTGTATATAAAAAACTGAAATATTTTTAGAAAATGAAAACTACATCAATAAAATACAAACTCTTTCTGGCCTCAAATTTGCCTTTCAGAGCCTCTAGGAAGCTCAAGGAAAGCAAGGAAAGAGTCTTTACTTGGATGCACACAGTAGGAGTGTTGCATACTCATCAAGGAAACAAGACCAGCTAAGGCTTGGAGTCAGAAAACTTGAGTTTGCATCCTCATTCTTCTACTTGCTAGATAAATAGCATGAGTTTCTCATCTGTGTAACAGGGATTAAGTTTTAGTAAGTTTTAGTAGAAATGACCAACAAAATTGATAAACTATCAAGCAGAATTCTTGCCATATAGCCTTCTCCAATATATGGCAGTTATTATTCTCATTATCATTAGTAAGTGACACATTTAGAAGTGTGGCCTACAGAAGAAGGCCAATTAAGAGAGAATTCTTTTTGGCATGCAGCAAATGGTACTAACACTGTTATATAGTTTAATTGCACAGAAAAGAGTTGGAGGCTACAGCCTCTAGAGACAGTGATTCATCCCCTTAAGTCAAGGACACAAAATGGGACAAGGCAGAGAAAGCACCTCTCTTCTCTAATATACACAAAAGAGTTTGTGCAAGTTAAACGAGGTGACATGCAAAGATCACACCACAAAGTTAAATAAATGCTGACACCTGCTACTTCTTACATATTTTAGTTTTTCCTCTCCTAGTTTTATAGGAAAAAATGAATAATTAATGATTAAAAACACTCTTTGGTTTACACTTTATGTTAGGTTTTCAACATTTCAGAAAATTCAGTGTGCACCTTCTGACCACCTTGTTTGAAGAACAAAATTTTTTTATACATCCATAATGGCATGAACTATTTTATGTTACAGCAGAATCAAAACTAGTATAGCTATATTCAAAACTATTATATATTAGCCAGAATAATGCCATGTGGACATGAGTAATACAGACACTTAAACATTCTAAACAGTACAATCTGATACAGAGTGAAAAGAGACAATGCTGAAATGATATGATGTAATGGCTTTGGAGTCAGAACTAAGTCTGAATTCTGGCTTTCCACTAACTGCTTCCTGACTCCAAAAGAAATAAAATGCTCTGTGCCTGTTTCCTCTGGGGTACTATAGGGATAATAAAACTTATCTCATAGATTTGTTAAGAAGATTAAACAATGCATATGATGCCAAGCTTGATTCCTTGCAAAATAACTGGTGCTTAATACATCTTAGTCTTTTATCTCCCTCTTCTGAATCTAAAGAGAACATCATGAAAGAGTGCAGGACTGTGAAGACAGCCAGGAAGCTCTGTTGTTTTGGCTGACACAGCACAGCCTGCTGGTGAGGCTGTGACTCCTAAACCCTGGGCAATGTCCCAGGCTGTAAAGGCCAT